CTGGTAGGTTGCCCATGCCCTGGCCCACTCCCATGCAAATATGGATAACGGTAATTGGACTTAGTGGGTTAAAATAAAAGACATGAAGGTGGGGGGGGGGAAGTATGGGTATGATTAAGATACACAGTGTGCATGTATGAAACTGTCAAAGAATAAATTTAAAATATTAGCTAAAAAAGAGATACAATTCAACAACAACAACAAAACCCCAATGATTTAAAGATGGACAACATCGGGGGCTGGAGAGATGGCTCAGCAGTTAAGAACACTGATTGTTCTTGCAGAACACCTGGGTTCGAATCCCAGCACCCACATGGCAGCTAACAACTGTCCATAACTCCAGTCCCAGGGGATCCGACAGCCTCTTCTGTCCTCCACAGGCATTGCACAACACGGGTGCACTTACCTACATGCAAGCAATACATGCATACACATAAAAATAATTTTAAAAAATGGACATCAAGAAAAAGAAAAGACAAGCTACAGGCTGGGGGAAAATATTTGCAAAAGATATATCCGATAAATGAAATAAGTAATGAAAACCTATTAGAATGGCCAAAATCCAAAACATTGTCAATACCAAATTCTGGTAAAGATGAGGAAGAATTCTAATTCATTGCTGATTGGAATACAGGGCCACAGTCTAGTGGTTTCTTACAAAACTGAACAGACTCTTACATATGACCCAGCAATCATGAACCTTGGTATTTGTCCAAATGAGTTGAAAATATGCCTAACAAAAACCTGCATGTGGGTGTTTACAAAACAGTTTTATCTATAATTGATTGCCAAGAAAAGGGGCAGCAGTCAAGATGTCCTTCATTGATAAAAGAATAAACTGTAGTACCTACAGAAAGTAGAATATTCTTAGCAGCAAGAGGAAGTTATCAAACCATCAAAAGAAAGGAGGAAATTTTAAATGCAAGATGCAGTATCAAGTGAACAGTGCAAACCTAAAAGAAAAAAAAAAACCCTACACCTTGTATGATTCCAATTATATGGCATTAAATGGAAAATGCAAAAAGTATGAAGACCAAAATACAAATAGTGGGCTATACCAATAACAAAAAATTGGAGAAAGAGTACATGGAAACCCTCCCATTCACAATAACCTCAATCAATCAATCAATAAAATATCCCAGAATAAACCTGACCAAAGACATCGAGATGGAAGCAACCTAAGTGCCCCTCAACTGACAAATGGATAACGAAACGTGGGGCATTTACGCAATGGAGTTCTACTCAGCACTAAAGAAAAATGAAATAATGAAATTTGTAGGTAAATGGATGGAACTAGAAACTGTTATACTAAGTGAAGTAACACAGACTCAGAAAAACAAACAACATATGTTCTCCCTCATTTGTGGATCCCAGCACAAAATCCTTATATGTGAGTATATATCCTGATGTAACTGCAGGAACCAGGAAAATGGAAAGTAACCAGGGAGGTAAAGGGAAAGAAGGAACTGGGGAGAGAACAGTAGAAGACAGGTGTTACTAATGGAGAAATGAGTAAAATGGGGGTAGTTAAATGGGAGGGGGAGAGGGAGGGCTATACAAAGAAATATGGGGATAAAAGGGAATTAGGAGCTCAAGAGAGGTGGGACCATAGCAGACAGGAATTATCAATGGAGAAATGGGGAAAATGGGAATACTTTAAATGGGGAGGGCATGGAGGGAAGTTTAGACGGGGAGAGAAGAAAGATAAATAATGCCTAGCTAGTATAAAAAAAAAGAGGGGAAAAAACCTACTGAAAATTACACATATAATATCTCTACATGAGTATAGCTGAAGACTACATAACAAGAAACAGGGCTAGACAGGAGAAACCTCCCTTTGAGTTGTTGGACACGGCAGTCCAAGAGACTCCCAAAATTACACTGGCTATTGCCACAGCCCTTGATTGCCTCCCAGAACAAGGTAAGGCCCTATTGCCAAAGACAAGATATACTTCAGACACAAGATTTAGAGCAATGGAGCTGGAACTGACCTGGAAACCACCTCCCCAGAAGGCTAGCTCTCATAGTTTTAGAGGACACTATGCAAGCTGCTAAGAGAGAACAGCAATCAAAGGTCCAACCCCAGCTTCAAGACCTAAAAATCACATCAATGATTGGCACAACAAAGGACGCTGGTATAGTAGTGGCACTTTTATCCTGGGGTTAATCAGCAGTTACCTAATCAGCCTTAAAGGCCATTCAATGGGCAGAAATTTCACCTGTGGTACTGTAAACATAGGCAAATACACATGACTGGAGAGGTCTTAGATCTTAAGGGAAAACCCCAAGGCTGCCCCATCCCTAGACAAATGTAATTTCTTACTATGTGCAAAATATGGATCCTTAAATTTACAGACAAGTATCCCAGTCACCTCCCATCAAAGAAGCTTATTACAGAGTTCCACAACTGGTCATACAGAGATTGTCTCTGAATTGCCCAAGCCTAAATGGCACATCTACAATGCAACCTCTACACCTAAGGCTCATGGAATATAGAACTAGGGATACAGAGATCACTAATGCATTTTTCAAACCTCCACAATAAAGCTCCCTCAGGCAACACAAAAAGTCACAAGTGGGCAAAATGTAGAGAATAAGATTCTACAGAGTGTGGGCCCTTGGACAAGACTCTTATATTAAAATCTACCCACCCAGGGCTCAGGAACCATTGAGGAAGAGGGGACAGAAGGATTGTAAGAGCCAGGGAGGAGGTGCAGAACCATATGGAAACAGAGTCTTACAGGCTCCTGGGACCTGCTCATAGGAACCTACAGCAATGGTGTCAGCATGCAGAAGACCCATGCAATCTCAAGCAGACAAAAACCCAGCACAGAACTGTGGAAAAGGACAGCAGACCCCAATCTGAGTCAAAGAATTATTGGCAGCTGATAACTGCTGGGTGAGAAAGAGCTGCTCTTAAAGGGAGGGACTCTAGAGAGGCTGACTACATCTCAGCAGATGAACTTGCACTGAGGGAAGTCTGGGGACACTCACCTGACATAATAGACCTTAACACAAATGACAGAATGTATGAATTTCAGTGGCGGGGGGTGTTGGGAGGGGGCCAATGAAGAAGAGGGTATAAGATGATTAAGATGTTCTGTATGAAATACATAAAAATTCAATAAAAAATTCAAAATTCAGAATTAGTGGTTTCCAGAGGTTAGCCAGGAGGATGGGATAAATAGAGGACCAAGGAGTCATGATACTCAATATGCAATACTGATGGACAGACATCGGCATCAGTTTGTCATAACTCATAAAATACACAACACCAAGGGTAAACTGTAATGTAAACTATGAACTTCAATCCTGATGCTGTGTCAGTCCAAGTTTACTGTTTATAATAATTACACCAATTTGACACAAGATGTTGCTAATACAAGAGGCTTTGTGGACAGCAAAAGATACATGCATGCAAGTCTGCTTTCTGTTCAGTTTTGCTATGGACCTAAAATGCTTTAAGAAAACAAATCCTATATTTTAAAAAAAATTAGGCAAAGAATTTAGATAGCATTTCTACAAAGAATATATATGAATGGCCCATAAGCATATTTTTAAAATGCTCAACATCACTAATCATTAGGACAAAGCAAAGCAAACCCAACATAAGGTATTACTTCACACTCATTTGGAGGACTGCTTTCATACACACACACACACACACACACACACACACACACACACACACCCAACAGAGAGAGAAAATGTATTGGGAAGGATGTAAAGGAATGTGAACCCATCCAAGTTGAGAAGTAGAATAGTATGAAGGTTAAGGAAAACCGTATGGCGATCCCTTAAAAGTTAAAATGGGAATTACCATACAAAAATCCAGCAATTCTAGTTCTGGGCATATGCACAAATGAATCAAAGCGGGGTTTTGAAGAGATGCGTGCACATCAACATTCATAACAGCACTATTCACACGTGGCCAGGGGCAGAAGTAACACAAGTGTCTACCAATGGATAAGCAAAATTTGCTTCACATACCTATGAGCAATACAGCAACATACAGCAAGAGCTTAGCCTTAAAAGAGAAGGAAATTCAGACATGAGCTACAATGCAGATGCAACCAAGAAGGTATCCTAATCAAACAAGTTAGCTACAAAAACTAAGTGTATGATTCCCCTTTGTGAGCTATTCACAGCAATCATTTTCTTAGAATCTGAAGGCAGAATGTGGTTGCCAAGGGCAGAGGTGGCTAGGCAGTGGGGTGGGGATTAATGGGTACAGAGTTTCACTTTTGCTTTGGAAGATGAGAAAGTTCTGGAGTACAGGAAGTACAACAATGCGAAAATACTTAACACAACTGAACTGTACACTCAAAAGTGGTTAGGATGGTCAATTTATGTTATGAGTACTTTGTCACAACATATTTTAAAGACTGAGCTCACTTGCCAAAATCAGTTCAAAATTCAGTTTCGGGAAAATCCTACTAGGTACACAACGAGATTCGTGATGCCTCTGACTTACTCTCAAAACTTTTTCTAGAACCAGTTCCAGCTGTCAGGCTGAAAATCTGGCGGCTTTAGTAACCAAACAATTGACCAGTGGTACACGATGACGTCTACTTCCCAAAATGACACTAAACATCTTCAACAAGAAATAATGTCTACTTATGGGCTACTGTTTAATAACTTTGTGTTCCCAGGACTGTTTTTTCATGGAGTTGGCAAGTTCCTATTTCCGGTAACTTTCTTGGTTATTACTGAACGTATGCTGAGTTCTGGGCCCTGCAGAGAGAAAGTACAGACCGAGATAGACAAGGTCTGTTACCACCGAGCTCTCAGCACAGGAGACTAAACACGTAAATTAGAATTTCACGCGTTTCCGCCCCTTAAGCCCACACACAGAGTAAGCGACCGGAGGTGTGCGTCACCGTGATCACTTCGTGAACCTACTGTCGTCGAAATGACAACTTCTCTCCTTCAGATCCGAGGCGGACCGGCGGCTCCACGTAGCCCGGGGGCGCCAGGCCCGGGGGACCTCCGACACCTACCCATTCGGATGTGCAAGCTGGCCGACGCCACGCAGCTGCCGTAGTTGAAGTCATCCTCAATGGAGGCGCGGGGATAGCGCGGATCCGCGGCGGCCATGGTGTCAGCAGAAGCCGCACCCGCCCGGGGAAGCAGCGAGACCTCCCCGACTACACCGACCGCAACCGCCTTCAGACCCGCTTCCGGGATGGGCCGCCAGACAGAACTAGCTGAACTGCCTGGCTGCTGCGAGCTCCGAACCAATCGATCACGTCCCGGGGAAAACTCCAGCTAGGCTTAAAAGGAGGTTGCCCTTTGCATTCCCCCGCGTCGTCTGAAGGGGAGCTTTTCTAGGATTTTCCTAAGCAGTCTTCCTAGAAAATTGCTAAGAGTGATAGACGGATTCACGTATTCAATCAACAAGTACTCCATCCAGATTCAGAATAAAATAGTCTACTCTGAAACTAAATCCTTAAAGTTAATATTTTCAGTAACTTTTGTCAAAAAAAGTTCCGCAAAAACAAGAAGGAAAAATACTTACCTTTAATTATTATTATTAATTTTAGAAGTAGTTACTCATTTCAATAAAACCCTTAATAGTATTTATCATAGAAGACAAACTGAAAGTGAACTAGGAACTCCACTTTGTACTGTCTAACAATATCATTAACAACATTGACTTACAAAAACCAATTCCAGTTAGATTGTGCTCCTAAATGTTAAAAAAAATACAACTTAAAGAAAATTATATCAGAGATTCTCTTTATAATTAAGAGAAAAGTAAAAATTTCTGAAACTGATACAGAGTATCAGCCTGAAACAGAAGATTGGGAAACTGAACTTTAAATTAGAAACTTCTAGTAATCAAAATTCATCATGTCAGTGAAAAACAAGCTATAGAATGGGAAAGGTTTTTCTGTACAGATAATATACATAAAGCTCCTGTTTATAACATTAAAAAAACACAAATCAAGATGCCCCTAACCCCCCCCCAAAGTAAGCAGTCACTAAAACAAGCAAAAGACTGGACCAGGTATTATGTATACATACAATAAAGCCAAATAGGTAATAGACATATGGAAAGATGCTTACCCTCATGAAAGATCAGAAAAATGTACATGAGTGCCCAAAGGAGCCATTTCTAAGCACCGACAATACCAAGTGTTGGAAAGACTGGGGATTAATGGGGGCTGTAAGCAGCAGGAGCTTTAGGTATGCCACCTATGCTATTGCACAAGATTGTTTCTCAGAAGGACCCTGTACTTGGTTTAATGCTCATCTCTTGCCATTCTGGAATTCTTATTAATTTTGCCTTGAACTTGTTTGTCAGTGAACTCTGAAAGGACAATGGAGCATGAACATGAGAAGGACAAGGACCCACAACATGGATGTCCATCATTCCCGGCCATTTACTTCTCAGTAGTCAGAGAAGCCTGTTGGATCTACAACACATGAGAGTTAAGCTAGACTCAGTGCATGTCACATCCATGACTGAGTGAAGCGAAAGGAGGAGGAGGCAGTGACAGACCTAGAAGCCAAGGTCTCTGTATCAGCCAGAGCTTACTTTGAGTCTTAGTCCCAGCACTCGGGAGGCAAAGGAGGCAGATCTCTGTGAGTTCAAGGCCAGCCTGGTCTACATACTGAGTTCTAGGTCAGCTGGGGCTACAGGGTCTCAAAAAGACCGAAAAAAAAAAAAAAGAAAAAAAGAAAGCAGTGATATTCTAAAACATAGACATGAGCAACAAATCTTGCACATGCAGTTTTACTTGGGTTCCTTTCTGGTATTAGTGAAAAACTTACACTCAAAGTAAAGAGAGAGAAGGAAAGGGAAAGAGACAACTACAGGCACTTTTCTTTTCAGTCCATCAGAATCAATAAAGTAAGGGTGGAGATGGTATTATAATCTGCATATACAGACACATGAAATAAAAATAGTTGAGTTAGTATTATGGGGCTTTTCCATGGTTCTTTTTTAAAAAATATTTTATTTATTATTCTTATTTTATGTGTATGAGTGCAATGCCTGAAGGTATGCATGTGCACCCATGTGGTGCAATGCCTGAGGAGGCTTGAATCCCCTGGAACTGGAGTTAAGGATGGGTGTTAGCCACGATGTGTGTGCTGGGAACTGAACCTGGGTTCTCTGGAAGAGTAAGTGTTCTCAACTGTTGAGCCATCTCTCCAGCCCCAAAGGATCCTTTTTATTTGCATTGAAAACTGGCATATAGATAGATAGATAGATAGATAGATAGATAGATAGATAGATAGATAGATAGATGATAGGTAGATAGATGATAGATAGATATACAGTTCACTAGTAAAACGTGTGCTCATAAATTAATGGGTTTTTTTCTTAAATTTATGACATTAAACAGCAAATTTAAGACAGCATGAAGTGGAGAATTGATTGAAGAAGGCATCTCAACATCAACCTCTGGCCTCTACATGTATATGCACCAGCAAGCACATCCCCACAAACAGATGCATACATACAATTAATTATTTCTAAATCTCTGTAAGATCAAGGCCAGCCTGGTCTACATATCTATCAAGTTTCATGGCAGCTGGGGCTACTAGGGACACCCTGCCTCAATAAAAAAACAAGATAAACACACACACACACACACACACACACACACACATGCATGAGAGATAGAGATATCATGGAAAATCAAGACATTGCAGAAGAGAAAGTATGCAGCAGTTTTCATGAAACTTTCCCCTTGCTTTTTGAATACAAATTTCTACAGTTTTATTTTCCTGGGCTCCATAAATTATGTAACTTGGCCACAATAGTCGGAATGTAAAATGAAGCAACCTCTTTGAAAAGTTGCTCCACAGTGTCTACCAAAGCTGAATATATATTACAAGTTCTGTGACTCAACCATCCCTCTCCTAGGTTGAATATATGGCCAATAGACAAATTATGTTTTATCACATCAGGGAAGCAAACTAGAACAGGAGGAAATACCTTCGAAGGACATAACTTGCACTATATGCCTTTTGCCTCCCTCTCTGTGTCCTGGCTGCTATAAGGTAAGGAAATTTGTTCTCCCATGCCAACACCATGTTAAACTGGAACTTCTGAAACCGTGAGTCAATATAAGTTCTTCTCCTAAGTTGTTTTGCTCAGTTTTTGTCATAGCAATGAAAATCTAACTAATACAACTAGAAAACTCTTAATTTTGGGCTTTTGGGTTATCTGTATTCAATACTAAAAGAGTAAAGATTTAAGATGTAACTATGTTTATAGTTTTTTTTAATTTATGGAATTTTGTAAACAGTTTGGCTTTAGAGGCTACAAAAGTACAAATTTGTAAGACTGGAGGATTACTGGATAAGCACCCAAGCTTTTGCAGCCAAAAGCTGCCATTTTCTCTCATGTGAAATATTAGAATGCCTACGCACTGGGGTTGCTGGTTTACTAAATGTGATACCATGTAAAGTACACTGGTGCTTAGTAAAGGTTACTTTTCCCCTTCACCGAATATCTCTGGATAGATAGGATTTGGTAGCTCTTGAGGTATCAGGAGATTGTCAGAGGGAGGAAGTGAAAGAAGGGCTGAGAACAATTGGAGGTCAGAGTGAACACAGCCACCATGGAGTGGACTCCTAAGAGCTTTGACTGGTAGGGCTCCACTCTGTAATGGAGAGCCACTGGTGACTTTTTTAAAGGAATAGTTTGATGAAAACTCAGGAAAAACTGAGGTGGAAAAGCAATACAGTTTTGTGGTTTAATGAGCTTCAATTATCTTGTCTATAAAAAGCAGGCTTCAGGGATGGAGAGATGGCTCAGCAGTTAGGAATACTGGTTGTTCTTGCGGAAGACCCAGGTTCAAATTCCAGCACCCACATGGTAGCTAACAACTCTCCGTAACTCCAGTTCTAGGGGATCCTACAGCGTCTTCTGTCCTCCGCGGGCATCGCACGACACGGGTGTACTTACCTACACACAGGCAATACGCGCATACACATAAAATAAAAAGAAAAAGAAAATGTTTTCTAAAAAAAAAAAAAAAGCAGGCTTGAAGGAGTCCTCCTGTGGTAGAGAATGTATAGTATAATAATATATGGTTTGGTTTTTGTCCCTCTTTCTGGAATTTCTGGAATGACAGGATTGTCTTTTGTTATTTATAATGAGCCCAGTTCTCCTACATTTGAATCCAATTCCTGAGATGACTCATGGTAAGTCCTCAGGTAGTTTGAAGAAATGGGCTGCTCATGCCAGAATGACCAAGAGCGTGTATAGCACATTGAAACTGTCAACCACACTCTCGTGGACATTTAATCCAATCACATGTTCAGTAACTGAATCCTGGAATTAATCCCTAGCAAATTCTGAAGTATGGTTGTATAGTCTGTTCCTGAGTCCTGTGAATCATTCTAATGAATTACCAGATTTGGAGGCTGATGATTAGTTTTAATAGCCAAGTTGACACAAGCGAGAATCACCTGGGAAGGGGATTCTTTACTGTCTGAGAGTGGAGAAAGCCAGTTGACGACCAGCATGCATGCACGAATTCAATGCTCTCTACTCTTGACTGGGATGAAACAGGACTAGATGCTTCAGTTTCCTGACACCTTGACCTTCCACAATGATGATTGTAACCTGAGATTGGAATTGTGAGAAAATAAACCTTTTCTCCCATAAATTGCTTTTGTCAGGATATTTTTGTCACAGCAATAGCGGGCAAAACTAATTCAGAGGGAGTCATGTGTGCCCCAATTCTACAGTTGATGTTTAATCATTTTGTTACTATAATACGGCCACTTTATAACTAAAATAAGCTTATCTAAATCATAATCTAGAATCTGAAAGTCTAAGATCAGGCAGCCACATCTAATCTTTGATAAGAGTTTATAGCCTGGGTTATTGTATGGAAGCACGCAGCAAAGACCACTGACCAAGACAACTCCATGGAGGACAGCAGTTTTTTGGGGGAGGATCAAACCACTGGACTGCCTCTGAGGATCAGAGAGACAGCAACCAGCAGTGGAAGTCAGGCAGTTTTTATAGGCAGTTAGGTGCTTGACTAACTTTCTGTGACAGAGACTGGGAAGTTTAGCTCAGGATTGGTTAGCCTCCTGATAAGCAGAGGGACTTTGCCCAGGCTAAGTTTGGATCCACCATTTTAGAATACTGGGAGCTGGGGCTGGAGAGATGGCTCAGCGGTTATTCCCAGCACCCACATGACAGCTATGAACCGTCCTTGACTCCAGTTCCAGG